GACTAGTATCACGCCACGTATTTCTAGAAATATCCTGTTCCGTCAAGAATGCCCTAGCATTTACTAGATATATGTTAGTCTGGTATATATATATATAAGACGCTCACAACGTGACGGGACAACAGTGTAATGAGTAATTGAATGTATGCGGACAAAATATTCTTGGCCACGTGAGATATAGCGTTTTTTATAGCGCGACTGTTGAAATTAAGTGTATCGTAAAGTTGTATTCGGAATGAATAGACCAGTTTTATTAAGTAAGGACTTGTGTCGCCAAAGTTTCGTCGGAACGAAGTTACGGAAAAACAACTAATGAACTGAGACGTAACAATACTGATTTGTGAGGTCACATATATTATTGCAGAATGAATCTACTATTTCAAAGAGGTGACCTTTTGATGCATTAAAGTGATCTGAAACATCTCGGTATGACTTCTGGTTTGAAAGTATCCATAAAGCTGTTAAACATTTTTTTCTACTGTGACTCTAGGCCTCCTACAGTACTGCAACTTGCAAGGCTTTCTTGTTACCATAAGTTTAACAAGTTCCTGCAATAAAAAACGAAAATATGTTAAAAGCCTATCCTTGATATTAATAGAGCCATAGAAAATATGCCTTCATTTCTTGTTACTAAAACTCTATAAATGAATAATAACATACTGCAGCCAAAATGAACATAAAACATATAACGTGCTAACATTACTAATAGTAATAATACTCACAACTACACTCGGGTATATTTCTTTAATACTAGGGTTGTCTTAACGTGAAAAAAATCATATTTGAAATTTTGTGCCTGTAAAGAAGTTTAAAATAAGACAAGAAAATATCAGCGATTCCTAAGCACTTTAAACATAGGCCTGCCTCAACTGTAGACTTCCTCAATGTAAAATTACTGTTGCGTCAGCGAAGTCACACGACTAGTGTGACGCCACGTTTCTAGAACTATCCTGTACCTTGGCGAATGCTCTAGCATTTACTAGACATAGGGTAGTCTGGTATATAAAAGAGGGTGACAACGTGACGGGACAATAATGTGTGTGTAGGTAATGAGTAATTGAACTGCAGTCAGAGAGAGACGTATTGTTGAAGTTAACGTTCGTTGTTATAGCGTTTGTTTTAGCGCGATTGTTGAAATTAAGTGTATCGTAAAGTTGTATTCGGAAAGAATAAACCAGTTTTATTAAGTAAGGACTTGTGTCGCTAAAGTTTCGTCGGAACGAAGTTACGGAAAGTTAATTAACGAACGGAGACGTAACATTACTTTGAAAAGCATCATCCATGTACTGCAGTACTGTCTTTCAGTTTTCCACATAATCCTTTACCTTTGCTCTGTAAGTTTTACTTTAAGCAACCTTATTGCAGCGCAACGCAACAAAGGCAGTAATATTATTAACACTATCCGATTTGTCTGAATCATATCACAATGGACGTCAGTTATAAGCGAAACAACAGATGTGCAAGCAGACACTGCAGTAACTATTTCATTTTCGGTGTACGCCATCTTGGCTAAAGGCAAAGCAACATTTTGCGGTCTTTCGGAAAATAGCTTTTAAGCAGTGACGTATTACTGCTAGCTGACTTCAAGTGATACGCTGAGTGCGCTTTAGTTTATGGGCCGAAGCGACTTCAATGATGTAATATTAATAACTACGATAAGTGTGGTTAGCAAAACTGTGGTATAGAGTTTTAATCATTAAGGTTCAAGTAGAACTAGAACTTCTACTTCTAGTAGAGGGTTCTTTTGGAAAATGAATTTTCATGATATTTTTCAACGTTTATTTGGTTTTCGTAGAGAACCTGAAGATTTTCGACAATACGACGATAAGATAAATGCGGAAAGGTTTGTCTCATGTTTCACAGATATTAAATTTGTAGAGCTAGAACTCCTACTAGTATAAGCTCTAGTTCTACAAAGTTATGTAGAACTAGAAGTTAGAGTGAATTTACGAGACGTAAATATAATAGCGCCTACTTACTACTGGTGTATCCATTCATTGTGGCATAAAATTAGAATTAGGCCTAAACGCTAATGTTAATTGTTAGTGAAGTGGTAAAAAGAAGCTGGGAAATTGTCTTACACTGTTACTGTTACCCAATATAACTATAGCTGTAATATAAAGAATCAAGTTTATAAACCATTTACTGAATTAGTGTTATATACTTTGTACTTAATTGTAAGTTGTACTGTATA